TACAGCTGCTTTAATTTTAACGAGGCTCTCCCTCAGTTGGATTAACACTTGTTCATCTTGCAGTGATTAACTATGCTTGAGTTTAGCTCAACATTTGTGGATATCAGAGATTGATGTTATTCCCCTTCTTTTTTGATCCCATGCTTGTGTTTGATTAAGAGGTCCCTAAAAAAGCTTTTGTGCACTTTCCACAACATGAGAGGATTATGGACTGTACACCATGAGGGGATTATGGACTGAGTTCCTATTGGTTTCATAGAAGTGTTTTTATATCCCATTGGAGTTCTGACTCTACAAGACAGTCCTAGAGAATGTTCAGTCTCCAAGTCCAAGATTGGCTTGTTAAGGGGCTAGATCTACAGTAATGTAGATAGGGGCATGATTTTAAAACGTAATGCAAAAATAGAGGACTCAAAGATTTTAGGTGAAACCTGATGTGGGACAAAAACAAAATGGATTGTGTGTATGAGGAAAATGTACAAGCTCACTCCTCGGGGTGAGAACCTCTCTACATATCAAGGAGATGGTTTTGATGTAGAGAGTTTTTAACATGTTTCAGAGCTGAAAAAGATAACTGGAAAAAGCCCCTGGAGGCATCTTTTAAGGGGTCGAATGTTAAATTGAACATATCCCCAAGAATGAGAAGAATCCCCTATGTCCTGTGAAATATGGTCTAGGAAAGGTACCTGATAAGTGTCAGGCAAGTAAACATTTGTGAATGTGAACTGTTGAGTACCCACTAAGTCTATGACTATCAGGTACCTACCACTCTGGTGTGGGAGTGTGGATATATGATGCTATGGGACCTGCTGGGACCTCTGTTCACATTTGGGGAGGTGCTGCGGTATGAGTTTGGATAGCACATTTTTGCAGATGTGGGGGTTCCGGCTTCTTTAAAATGCATTTTATTCATAAAGGCTAAATGGGTCTTAAGCTTCCATAGCTGATATAGGAGTAATGACTGCTTCCCAAGTGTATTGAGATCTTTTACATTGAGCAAGGCTATTTTAAAGAAAGCCCTTGCTGCTTGGGACCAGGTGTATGAGTGCATTTCTCCTTAGGGGGTAAGGCTTCGACTATCAGAACTGGAGGAAGGGGGTGGGAAGAGATGGGGTATAGGGAAAGGCAAAGAGCAATGAGGAAGAGGGGTTGGGTAGCAATAAGGAAAAAAGAAGGAGGTTTAAGGCCACCCTCATAAAGATTTAAATATGACAATCACTATAAGCTTTGTATCCTACAAGGGAGCAAAGGCAATCCCTATGTGGGGGGTCATAGATTGCAAGGAATTACAGTGGGAAATTTCCATGAACTATTACATATAGATGTATTTCTGAAATTAACCTTTGAATATACAGTATACCAAATGGTATAAGGAGATAGGGGAACTATAGGTAGGAAAACTATATATGCATTTCTGAGGCTCAAAGGTTTATAGATAAATATACAAAATCTCAAACAGATAAACATTAGCAGAGCTATGTCAGCTGTGTAACTCAGTCTCAAAAGGAAGCCATTGTTTTTGTTCTGTAGAGGTAGTTGTGAGGGCCCTATTACTTTCATGTTGTGCCATAAAGTTTGGCTCCATACATAACGCCAGAGACAAGGCAACAGCTGGCCATGTCACAAACTTCAGAAATTCACAGTTATCAATATCAACGCAACAGTGCATCAATAAAGTGAACCTCAATCTCTTATTGGGGAAGAGGTCCCTTTTCCCTTCAGCATTTTATGAGGTGGCCAGGCTTTTGCAGGTTGGTCCTTTAAAGGATAACTAAAATCAAGAACAAGGATGTATTACATGTGTAATCTTTGTTCCATAAACCAATAATCCCATCAGTTCCCATTATTTGCATCAGTCAAGGCTGGGTGTCAACTATGGCAGAAGATAGATGTCTTCCATAGATACCACATCTAAGGACTGGTAATATGCAATATATATTACTTTGTCTTTGATTTGGGGGTTTTAGTTATGCTTTAAGAAAGATCCATTTGCTTTATAACCTACCATTTGTCTTTTCAGTGATGCTAAAGTTTTATACAATGCTATAGTACTAAATCAAAAATCTTGTAAAGAACTAACATCTAACATTTTTAGTTAAGTTAATCATCTTTTTAGTTACACCTGTATCTTTAACAGTTAATTATTTTAGTGCATGTGACACCTGGAACCAAGTAATGATTATTAACTAATAAGAACTGTACATTACCCATCTGTCACTCTCAATTGCCAGGGGACTTAATTATAATGACTATCCAAGATACCCAGTATATATACCCCTTAAAAAGTAACTAAATATGCAATGAGTGACTGCAGACAACACTACAGTTACAACTATTACCTATTTGGGGTCCTTTCAGACACAAAAGACCATATGTTGAGAAGAAAATATTCTATTTGGAGAGGTAAGTGGAAATATACACCATCAGTGCTACAAAACTGTTTTAGCTTCCCGGTAGAAATATACCAGTGCCATAAATACTGTAAGCCAATGTATAATTTTTTGCAATTTCAGGTGGGCAACGTATTTTGGGATTTCATTTTCCATGATGGATTTCTCATTAAAGATTCTCTAAAACTAAAGTAAAAATATAATATATCACAGTTTACAAGTCTTTAGATGTAATAGCTGCAGTAGTGGCAACACACTTTTTTGTGCCTGGGTGGCTTTGCTCAGTTCTCCACTGTATCTATGGCAGGAGCCATGGTTGTCACCCAGGTTGAACTTTAAACATCCAGTTGAAAAGAAAAACAGCACACTGAGAAGTAGATTCTGAAGCAGGATTTACTGAAGTCACATATAAGGAAAAAACTTATACCAAGACAGAGACAAACTTCCTTGCCCATATAGGATTTCAGTAATTACTACTTCAGAGTCTACTTCTCATTGTTCCAGTTTTCTCTTCATTACTATATTGTGTACAGTACCACTAGCCATGCACCCATGCTCCACAAGTGTTATTTATGTCTGCCTTTGTTATTCCCCTTTAAAACCTTTGTTGAGCCTGTCAGAATTCCAGATATCTCAAGCAATGATATCACCTTTTACATCTATCTTTTATGAAGTACAGAACCCCTAACCCCTTATAATGGAGATGAAGATACAGGGATGTGTTTGCAGTTAAATAATGAAAGCAGCATAGTGAATGTTAGACAAGACGTTTGTTACTGGCAGGATCAACAGGTCAAAAAAAAAAAAGAAAAAAAAGGAAAAAAAATGTTTTTTAAAAGTCAGTACAGCCACCACATCTAAGGACTGGGATGCTATTATATTTCTGTTTTTGGATATACATAGAGTTTAATATTACATTGCAGAGACTGATATACAGGATTTCATCAATAAGAGGCATATTGAATGGCTGCAAGGAGACCAGATCTCACACTGGAGTTCCTGAAACTGGGGATTTAGACAATGGCTGTTTCCACTCTCTAAATTCCTATTGAATAGACATCCCCTCACTCCTTGTCCTATTGACCACGCACCTAATTTCCCCCAATACGGTCTAAACCCTTCCTTTACGTGAAACACAATAAATAATTATTGGTGTGGTTGGGCTTTTTTGGGCTTCAAAAACATGCAAAATGATGTATTAGTTCACAGGATTCACGTAGCTCATAGCTCTGCACTTAAATGCTCTTTCCTGCATACATTCAATTTACCAAGCTTTATGGATGACCAGAGCTTTAATTTATACACTATATAAGTGTGGATAAAAAGATGTGGAATGTTTAAAAGGTATCAAATGTGTTCCTATGTACAGTAATGTGGGTGCAGCCCAGTCTATCTACTTTGGTAAATAATAGTTGCTATTCTGCAGGAAAGCAGTGAAAGTTGCAGCTGAACATGCACTAAAAGCTAACAATGAAAAATAGAGGACAGAAGCAATCATCAGCATATACATGTTGTGCAACAAATATGATAGTCTTTAACTAACAGTCAGTATCTGAAGAAATTGGCTGTGCAAATTACTGAAGGCAGTGTTAAAAGCAACTTTTTTTTTTTTTCAAACAGTGTTTATTGATAAGAGGAAAAGCGAAGACCAAGGCTAAGCATTTTTTAAAAAGTAAGTGAAGATAAATTTCCTTCAAGGATTACATTTTAATAAATGTTAATACATTCAATAACAATTTGTCAATTTAGCTTCTTTTATTTGAATTAACATTTATTTCAAGAAAATAATTGTATACTTTACTTTTCATATTTATGCACATTTAAATATTTTGGTTTTATTATGTGTCATTTTTATGTCTACGAGGGCTTTGCTTCTATCTTTAGCAATTTTTTTTGTTTCTTATTGACATATGCCCCAATTATAAATAAATGTACATAGACTTTAAGATCAAGAAGTCATGCACTATGACAGTGGCAAGTTTAATTACTCGTAATAAAATAATTTTATCTGTATTATTTTAGTTTGACAAATGTGCATTTATTTTTGTGGCAACAATTTGACACTTTTACATGAAAATGTGGCACTTTATCATTAATACATTATGACAGCACACAAGCTAGCTTGTTACATCCACAAAATAAAATATGATGTTAAGTAAATGAGTAAGCAAGCAGGTCTCCTATTCTTTTCATTTCAGGTAATAGAAAGCTATACAGATGTACGTGAATCACACGATCACAAACTATTTTATCATTAAAGGAATTTCTGTTGTTCCCGAAATACAAATTACAATTTTCATCTTAGTTCTTTTGGTTTATCTCATCACTCTTCTTGGTAACATGACCATACTTCTACTGATCTGCCTGGACTCCCACCTTCACACCCCCATGTACTTCTTTTTAGCGAATTTGTCCATTGTGGATATATCATGCACTACTGCCACATTACACAAAATCCTGATGAGCTTTGTTACAGGAGATAAAACTATTTCATTTTTTTTTTGGTTGCATGTCACAGACCTTTATGTCTGGATCTTTAACAGTACAAGAATTATTTATACTGACTGCAATGAGTTATGATCGTTATGTAGCCATCTGTAGGCCTTTGAGTTACCATTTGATTATGAGCCATAGGAATTGTGCACTCTTGACCGCTCTCTGTTGGGTGTTGGGTTTCCTACTTGTTGCTCCTCTTGTGGGGATATTGTCCAGTTTCTCTTGTTACTCATCAATTGAAATCAATCATTTCCTCTGTGACATTGTCCCCTTGATGAAAATGACTTGTAGCAACACTTCCCTTCTGGATGTATTATTCTTTATAGAAGGTTTATTCCTTTTCACTATCATCCCATTTCTTCTGACCTTCATTCCCTACATCTTTATAATAGCAGCCATACTGAGGATCCAGTCAAACACTGGAAGACGTAAAGCCTTCTACACTTGTTCCTCGCACCTCACAGTGGTCATCCTTCTCTATATGATTCTTGCTAGTCAATACCTGACACCAGGTTCAACAAGCTCACTGGATTCAAAGAAACTGTTTGCATTGTTTAATACAGTTGCCATCCCTCTGCTCAATCCACTGATCTATAGTTTAAAAAATAAAGATGTGAAAGCAGCTCTAGAACGAAAGTTGAATAGAAGTAAAATATTCACCTAAATATTTCCAAATATTTCTTTCATATATTCTGCTTTAATCCAAGCAAAGTATCATGTCTTTTCTTTGGATAAAAATAAACATTATGAAGTTGTAAGGAACATGGGACATATTCAGACTTTATGGATACATAAACATCATGCTTAATGTGTAAATGTGGTATAGAGTTATGTTCAAATGTATGATGAGTCAGATAAGACACTTACAGTATATAATGATTAGGGTATTATTCGATTTGTAACTATTTTTATTTCCTCTAATATCTTTCAAAGGATATTTGGCTCATGGTCTGTAAAATGTATTATAACAGTTATGAAACATTGTAATCACGTCACAACAAACTTACTTCTCAATGTGGACTATCAAATAAAAACAAAGCATTTGCCCCAAATCTACCAGAAATGGGGACCACCACGAGAATTACATGAAATGTTCTTTAACCACTTGCCTACTGGGCACTTATACCCCCTTCCTGCCAAGACCAATTTTCAGCTTTCAGCACTGTCATACTTTGACTGACAATTACTCAGTCATGCAACACTGTACCTATATGAAATATGTTTCCCTTTTTCGCACAAATACAGCTTTGTTTTGTTGGTATTTAATCAGTGCTGTGTTTTGTATTTTTTGCGCTATAAATGAGAAAAGACCAAAACACATTTATGTTAGTTTTTGTTGTAAAATTTTGCAAATAAGTAATTTTTCTTCATAAATTGACCAAAATTGACACTGCTACATTTCTTTGGTAAAAATAACTTAAATCTGTCTATATTATTTGGTCTGTGTGAACGTTATAGAGTCTACAAGCTATGGTACCAATCACTGAAAATTGATCACACCTGATGTACCAATGTGCTAACTCATTTCTTTAGACTCTAACAACCCAGGACAGTACAAATACCCCCAAATGACCCCTTTTTGGGAATTAGACAGTCCAAGATATTTAGTAAGAGGCATAGTGAGTTTTTTTAAGTTGTAATTTTGTTCCCACAATTCTATTGAAATATATATATTTTTTTTATGTTCCACAAAATTGCCATAATAACAGGTTATTTCTCCCACAAGGCATATGCATGCTTGCAACTACACCCCAAACCACATTCTGCTACTCCTGAGTATGGGGATACCATGTGTGAGACCTTTACAGCTTAGCCACATAGAGAGGCTCAACATGCAAGGAGCACCATCAGGTGACCTAGTGGTATAAATTACATATTTAATTTCCTGACTACCTATTACACATTTGAAGGTCCTTGGGCACCAGGACAATGGAATTACCCACAAAATTACCCCATTTTGGAAAGAAAACACTCCAACATATTTTTTGTGAGGCATAATGAGTCTTTTGAACATGTAAATTTTTCCACAAGTATTGAAACGGGGAAATGGCAGGCTGTTTGAAATATGGGCTAATGTTTTAGTTTTGTGTGAAAACATCAGAAACAGTCTGATGTACAGGCCTGGTTGGGAGGGACACTGGGGACAATACTTGTGTCTCTGCAAACTCCTCCACTGCTACATACCTGACATCTTTTTTTGGCGTCTTCGACCTGCTTCAGTTGGTGGAATGCTCTCATGGAAGTGGTGCTCATGAAGTCTGCTCACAGAATCGGAACAAATGCTTTTTGGGTGGGATCCTTGCTGATAGATAAGGGAAGTGACAATTTCTTCTATGAATTTGAGGAAGGTGGTAAGTCTTTCTGTGGATTTGGTGTAGGAGACATATGCATTATAAATAGCCAAATTAATAAAATAGAGTGCAACTTTTTTATACAAGAAACGAGACCTTCTTGTTGCTAAATAGGACTGCAACATCTGATCATTGAAATCCACCACCCCCCATGTAGAGATTATAAACTTGGATCCCCCCTTATAATTCCCCCTTTGTAGCCTGGTATTCACTAGAGCTTGTGGGAAGCCCTTCCTGTTTTTTCAGGAGGTACCGCAGGCCAAGGTTTTCTCTCACGGTACAGGTATCGGAAAAGAGGCAGACTGGTATAGAAATTGTCGAGGTAAATGTGATAGCCTTTTTGGAAAAGTGGATAAGCCAGGTCCCAGACAATTTTTCCACTTGTTCCAGTGTAGGTTGGGCACTCAGGGGGCTGGGGCTGGAGCTGGAAATGTTTGCCTTCATATATACGGAATGCATACAAATATCCTATGGCTCTTTCACAAAATGTTGTACAGCTTTACTCCATATCTGGCCCATTTACTTGGACTATATTATTATTATTATACAGTATTTTATATAGTGCCAAAAAGTTTGCTCAGCGCTGTATACTATAGTGGGGGACAGTACATGAGCCAATACAGTAACAATACAATACACGAGGGGTTCGAGGGCCCTGCTCCTTGGAGCTTACAATCTATATTGATTAATTCCTAGCTGGCTAGTGAAGTGGACAAAGGGATTTGTCTACACATACATTTTTATCATGGACAAGAAGTTCAGCAAATCGTTGATAAAAAAAAAAATTAAGTGGGTGAATTGTTCATAGCTGGGATGATTTCTGGGAGGGCACTGGGTATTGTCACTGTAATGAAGAGATCACATGATCATCTCATAGCGTGACTTGGGCATTACAGCAGAATAAATTGGCATGTGATGGATTGGATGTGTAGACCAGTACGCATGTCTTTTTTTGTGTAAGCCCCATGTTAAGGGTGAGGTCCAAAAATAACTTAAATTCCTCAAATGTAAGAGGTCTCCATTCAAATAGATGGGCATAGGATGAACTGGGGTAAAGTGCCAGGCAAAAATAAATTTAAAAAATCAATTCTGAAAAATTCTCAGTGTTGGCCTGCACACCTGGTGAAAGGGGGAATGCTTGCTGATCGTGAGTTGGAGGGCAGCCATAATGGGTTGGCAAGAGCATCTGGGAGGTTTGTTTGGGCCCTGATTCTTGGGGGTCGATGGAATATTCCAGACTGGGTCTTTCATGCATGGGTCTAGTGCCATTAGCATTTGCTGATTGACCATTGGGGTGTATGTCGCTGCTGGTGGCTGCCTGGTTTTCAGAGAGCCATATCCTTTTAGGAGGGACCCTTTCCTCCTCTGATTCAGTTGCTGATCCACTAATTTTGATTGGTTCATACACTGAATCACAAACGGACAGTGAGAGCTCCCCGCTGCTCTCATCCGTCATACTGAGGATTTTGAACACCTCACTAGTGTAAATTTTTTTTGCATAGCCAACTCTGGGACAAGTAGACTGCTGATGGTGGCTGTAGGAAAGGTACTCTGCTGATGGTGGCACAGATGCACTGCTGATGGGCACTGATGGGAAACAGGTACACTAAGGTGTGACAGGTGCACTGCTGATCAGGTGACAGGTGCAATGCTGATCGGGCAACAGGTGCACTGCTGATGGGCATTGATGGGTGACAGGTACACTGATTGCCACTAGTAACACTGATGGGCACTGTGACAGGAACTGTGATCTGTGTTTACACTGTGATCTGTGTGAGTAGAGGAAGCTGGTAACAGCGAGTTACCACTCTGTTTACATTTATGACTGGCTGTGATCTGACACAGCCTGTCTTGTGGTAAAGAGCCATAGCCAATGGCTCTTTACCTCGATCAGATCGTGATGGGCTGTGTCCAAGTTCACCAGCGATCGCCGCACGGCGCGCACCCAAGGGTGCGCATGCACAGTTAGAGTGGGAGGACTTCATATGACATCCTCCCAGAATGAGAAAGCCCCCACCCGTCTGTCATTTCCTTATAGGGCGGGCAGGAGGCGGTTAAACAAGGAGGCTGTAAAGACGTTTATATCTTACCACTGCTTCTCTCAGATAGGGTTACTTATCATATTTTTGTACAGGCACACAGTGTATGCTTTGTACATTACTGCAAGCTATTTACAAAGTATGCCCTGTGGCAGTTTCCTTAAAGAACTATAGGCAAAACTTTTTTTTCATCTTGAATAGAATATGATAGGGTTATGACCCCTGTTAGATTTTCTTTCTACCATCTATGTCCCATTGGGGAGATTTACCTTAAGTTCCTGTTCCATAGCCAGGAGTATAGGTGTATTGCCCTCCAGAGGATTTACCCCCCTTCCTGACCAGGTCATTTTTTGTGTTATGGCGCTGCGTTATTTTTACTGACAATTGTGCAGTCATGAAATTTCCATCCTTTTTTTTCCCACAAATAGAACTTTATCAGTTTTATTTGATCGCCTGTGTGCTTTTTATTTTTTGTACTATATTAAAAAAAAGACAATATTGAGAAAATAAAACAATATTTTTTACTTTGTTATTATACATGTCCAGTGAAAAAAATTTAAAAATCAAAGTTTGTCATAAATTTAGGCCAAAATGTATTCTGCTACGTCTTTACTAAAAAAAAAATCCCAATACGTGTAAATTAATTGGATTTACGTGAAAGTTATAACGTTTACAAATGGCAGCATATATACTGAGATTTTTATTTTCCTTTTTTCACTAGTAATAGCAAAGATCAGCGACTTATAGCGGGACTGTGATGGGCATTCTTACATTGGGGGGAGGACTAACTGTCACAGACATCCCCAGTGACACTAATACAATGATCAGTGCTAATAAAAGCACTGACACTGCTAATGACACTGGGCAGGAAGGGGTTAACATTTGGGGCGATCAAAGGGTTAACAGTGTGCTGTCTTTTACTAGGGAGGTATGCTGTTTTGTATTGCTCTGCTATGCAGCATGCTGGAGCTGACAGGGGAGAGATCTGTATTGTTTACATACAGACCTCTCCCCTGTTCGTGATACTCGGCGATCGCCAGGTACCGGCGGGGAATCTCTGGTCGGGACTCTGATCGACAGCTGTAGCTGCCAATGGTGCCCTGTGAAATACAGAAATAAAAAATCATGTATATATTTATTTATTAAAGGTACTTGTATAGCGCCATCAATTTACACAGAGCTTTACATATATATTGTACATTCACATCAGTCCCTAACCCTCAAGGGGCGTACAATCTAATGTCCCTAACTTACATTTATTCAGGGCCAGTTTAGACAGGATGCAATTAACCTACCAGCATGTCTTTGGGGAGTGGGAGGAAACTGGAGTACCCAGAGGAAACCCACGCAGACACAGGGAGAACATGCAAACTTCAGGCAGGTGGTGCCGTGGTTGGGATTCAAAACCAATGACCCTACTACTGCCAGGCGGAAGTGCTAACCATTTAGCCACTGTTTGGCATACGTGATTTTGCGCAGCCCTGCCACCCTGTAGCAGTAGTTCTGCTATAGGGCAGTCGGGAAGTTGTTAAAATTAACTTTTTAGCCACTACTGGGAAAATAATCAATGGATTCCAGTCCATAATGTTCAAAAGTTGCTATTTAATGTAAACAGAAATTAAAAGCATCATTATGACACATTTTACAGAGGAGATAAACTGCATGTATATAGAAGAGAGTATATTGTGTGGTACACAAATGAGGGTGTATATTATGTACTATGCTAAAACTTTGTTAGCATTGGCCTACTTTAACAAAGTGCACAGGGGACCTACGCTCACATGTTACACAAATAACACGCCTGCCAGTTTTAGCCTTGTAGACACAATGATGACCATGGTGGAAAGTGTTGACACAGGTGGTATACCTGAAAGGTGCAATGCTTGTTGTGTCTGTCGGTTGCATGACACCTCTGCAAATATTTTGCACTGTTTTTGCAGGAGCATGGATGAAGGTGTTCAGTTGCTTACACCCATGTTGTTTGCGGAATGGGTATCGATTCATGACATTAGTACAATTAATGTTTGAAGAATAAGCAATGTGTTTTCTTCTAAATGCAATCCAATTTTGGCATTCGGACCAATGGAGAACACAGAGGAAGATACCAAATATCAGGAGAGAAGATACTTTTGAGACCATCCTGTAATGAGAAGATATGAGTGAAGACTACAGAATGTAAACTATTTACAGAACATCAAACAGATCATGACATACATTTAGAAATATCCCACAATGAGATTAAATGAGTATTAGAAGATTTGGATATGCAAGCACTAGTATTCAAGACTTCCTTACTGATGCTTTATTGAATTCTAACCACAAAGTATTTTTCCAAAACCACACTGGATTCACATACATGAAAAAAGCAGGTCATGGTAAATGTACCCTACCATTGAGTGAATATTTAATTCACCGAGTATTACCAGACAGGTGAAAAAAGTAATCCAAATGCCCCAAAGGATTCCCATTCCTTGTGTAACTGTCCCATTTGTTTCCCAATCATGTTTTGTCTTTTCATCACTGAAAATAAATGATCAAAATGCACAAAAATGCAGCAAAATGTGCAACAAAACATAATGGATCACAGTAAAATGTGTATTAGAAACAGTAATTTATAGTGATAACATGATTGCAGCCTTTACTAAAGTTGAACTCAAAGCAAACCGCTATATAGAAATACATACAGAACATAGGAGCTCTTTTACCTGCCAAAGGATTTGTATTTTGTACATATGGCCCTGAAATTTACACAGCCCTGTCTGTGTTAGCAATGCCACGCCAGTAAAAAAAAAAAGATGGAATTTGTGGTAGCATCAGTGCACAGTTGTGGATTAGCTTGTTCGCAAACGCATACATGAGTGTATGAACACGATGATATTGTTGGTGGCAAGTGATTTAAGTCAGCACCGGACATGTGCAAGTACTTTGTCTTCAGCAGTACCTGCGTCCACTATTTCTTGATATTGACCTGGCTTGCCTCAACCAGCTCCTGCTATCTGCCAGTACTGACCTCAGATTGCTCCATGACCATGCTTCTGCCTTCTCTTGTTTAAAAACTACTTGTCTGATACCAACCAAGTCTTTAAATCTGAACTTGCACCTGCTACCGATTACAAATTTGATAGGTCCACCAGTTACTGAATCGGCCTGCTTGACCTTGAACCAGCTTTAAGCTCTTACATGACTTCTGTTTACCTGCCTCCATCTCCACTATGCACCCGCCTGCTCTCCAGTATGCTGATCCTGTGTTTTGCCATTACTTTTGCTGCTTTAGTGATCAGTATCCTGCCTGCCTTCTTCCAAGGAAGTCCACACATTATAGACTTAACCAGTGGCTTCTATGCAACCAGATCAGCATCCAGCAGACCAGTAAGGCTCTTGCTGGCATCTGTGCCATTCCACTGACTGTCACGTACCTGGTTGGGGAGCCTGACGTAAAGAGGAGGCGTCCTCTTACAACTCCCGCTGAGAGCCCCTGATAGTGGGAACAGGGCACAGAGCCAGGAGTGGCATGAGTGCCGGGTAGATCTGGAGCTGGCGGCAGGTAGCTGAAGACCCAGGAGATCCGGATGCAGGCCAGGTGCGGATGCAGGAATGTAGGTGCAGCAGCAGGCATGGCGGCAATCAGGATGCAGTCTGGGACTGGACACAGGAGCGTGGATGCAGCAGCAGGCAGGTATGGCAGTGACCAGGATGCAGGCCAGGTGCAGGACCGTGGGTGATGCAGCAGGTAAGTATTGCAGTGACCAGGATGCAGGACCGTGGGTTCAGCAGCAGATAAGTATGGCAGCCGTCAGGATGCAAGCCAGGTGCAGGTACAGGTAAGTAGGTGCAGCAGAGTCAGACAAGCTGGGTCAGTATTAAACGAGCAGATCAAGTACAAAGGAGCAGGCAAGCGGATGGTCAGGGAAAGCCAGGGTCGGTGCAGGCGGAGTTCTTTTAGTCAGGTCAGATCAGGATACAGGCAACAGAATCAGGTAATAAGCGCAGGGACATTGTAGACCAGAAGGCATTAATTTCACTGTATTGCAGGTTTAAATAGCCAGCCTAGCAGTGACTGCGCATGCACGTGCTTCTGCGCACCCACACGCTCCCGTGCATGCACTCCCACGCATGCGCACTTCCACCGCCATGGCCCGAGGGGATCTGTCGTGCGGCTGCACGGTGACAGGATCCCTGACACTGACTGCTCAAGAACATGGTACCATGTTACTAGCCTTCAGGATAAAATGTGCTGTCTGCTGTCTTAGGCTTACACACTTCTACTGGCATAGACTTAGGACTGTGCATTCATTATTACTAGAGATGAGCGAATCGAAGTAGGCGAAGTGGAATTCGTTTCGAATATTAGGAAAATTTCGATTCGCGTCGAATCCGAAAATAAGCAGACTTCGGATGCGCGAATCAAAATTTTTCCTAAATGGCGGCGGCGACATGTGCGGCGACGGAGTGGGGATGTCTGGGAAGGCGCGCAGACAAGGCGCGCTGACCCATAATGCATTCATTCATGACATGTGATCGCATTAGCCAATCAGCAGCCAGCCAGCCAGCACAGTGTAATGGTCGAGCTATAAATGGCGGCCATTTTAGAATTCTCCATTTGCCTCCAGTCATTCAACAGAGGCAGACCTGGCTGTATTCAGGGAGAGAGTTAGGGACAGAGAAACGTTACTTAGGGACACAGAAACGTTAGTTAGGGCCACAGAATCGTTACTTAGGGCCATAGAAACGTTACATAGGGCCACAGAAACGTTACTTAGGGCCACAGAATCGTTAGTTAGGGCCACAGAAACGTTACTTAGGGACACAGAATTGTTACTCAGGGAACAGACAGAATTGTTACTGAGGGATACAGAATTGTTACTGAGGGCCACAGAATCGTTACTTAGGGCCACAGAAACGTTACTTAGGGCCACAGAATTGTTACTTAGGGACAGACACAGAATTGTTACTGAGGGACACAGATTTTGTTACTGAGGGCCACAGAATCGTTACTTAGGGCCACAGAATTGTTACTTAGGGACAGACACAGAATTGTTACTGAGGGACACAGATTTGTTACTGAGGGCCACAGAATCGTTACTTAGAGCCACAGAAACGTTACTTAGGGCCACAGAATTGTTACTTAGGGACAGACACAGAATTGTTATTGAGGGATACAGAATTGTTACTGAGGGGCCACAGAAACGTTACTTAGGGCCACAGAAAAGTTACTTAGGGCCACAGAATTGTTACTTAGGGACAGACACAGAATTGTTACTGAGGGACACAGATTTGTTACTTAGGGCCACAGAATTGTTAATTAGGGCCAGACACAGAATTGTTACTGAGGGACACAGATTTGTTACTGAGGGCCACAGAATCGTTACTTAGGGCCACAGAATTGTTACTTAGGGACAGACACAGAATTGTTACTGAGGGACACAGATTTGTTACTGAGGGCCACAGAATCATTACTTAGGGCCACAGAAACGTTACTTAGGGCCACAGAATTGAATTGTTACTTAGGGACAGACACAGAATTGTTATTGAGGGACACAGAATTGTTACTGAGGGCCACAGAACCGTTACTTAGGGCCACAGAAACGTTACTTAGGGCCACAGAATTGTTACTTAGGGACAGACACAGAATTGTTACTGAGGGACACAGATCTGTTACTGAGGGCCACAGAATCGTTACTTAGGGCCACAGAATTGTTACTTAGGGACAGACACAGAATTGTTACTGAGGGACACAGATTTGTTACTGAGGGCCACAGAATCGTTTACTTAGGGCCACAGAAACGTTACTTAGGGCCACAGAAACGTTACTTAGGGCCACAGAATTGTTACTTAGGGACAGACACAGAATTGTTATTGAGGGACACAGAATTGTTACTGAGGGCCACAGAACCATTACTTAGGGCCACAGAAACGTTACTTAGGGCCACAGAATTGTTACTTAGGGGACAGGGACACAGAATTGTTACTGAGGGACACAGAATTGTTACTGAGGGCCACAGAAACGTTACTTAGGGCCACAGAAACGTTAGTTAGGGCCACAGAAACGTTACTTAGGGACACAGAATTGTTACTCAGGGACAGACACAGAATTGTTACTGAGGGACACAGAATTGTTACTGAGGGCCACAGAATCGTTACTTAGGGCCACAGAAGAAACGTTACTTAGGGCCACAGAAACGTTACTTAGGGCCACAGAAACGTTACTTAGGGACAGAATTGTTACTCAGGGACACAGAATTGTTATTGAGGGACACAGAATTGTTACTGAGGGCCACAGAACCGTTACTTAGGGCCACAGAAACGTTACTTTGTTACTAGGGCCACAGAATTGTTACTTAGGGACAGACACAGAATTGTTACTGAGGGGACACAGAATTGTTACTTAGGGCCACAGAACGTTACTTAGGGCCACAGAATCGTTACTTAGGGCCACAGAAACGTTACTTAGGGCCACAGAAACGTTTACTTAGGGCCACAGAATTGTTACTCAGGGACAGACACAGAATTGTTACTGAGGGATACAGAATTGTTTACTGAGGGACACAGAACCGTTACTTAGGGCCACAGAAACGTTACTTAGGGCCACAGAATTGTTACTTAGGGAACAGACACAGAATTGTTACTGAGGGACACAGATTTGTTACTGAGGGCCACAGAAACGTTACTTAGGGCCACAGAAATTGTTACTTAGGGCCACAGAATCGTTACATAGGGCCACAGAAAACGTTACTTAGGGCCACAGAAACTTTACTTAGGGCCACAGAATTGTTACTTAGGGACACAGAATTGTTACTCAGGGACAGACACAGAATTGTTACTGAGGGATACAGAATTGTTACTGAGGGACACAGAACGTTACTTAGGGCCACAGAAACGTTACTTAGGGCCACAGAATTGTTACTTAGGGACAGACACAGAATTGTTACTGAGGGACACAGAATTGTTACTGAGGGCCACAGAACCGTTACTTAGGGCCACAGAATTGTTACTTAGGGACACAGAATTGTTACTCAGGGACAGACACAGAATTGTTACTGAGGGACACAGAATTGTTACCACAGATTTGTTACTGAGGGCCACAGAACTGTTACTGAGGGCCACAGAACTGTTACTTAGGGCCACAGAAACGTTACTTA